ATACATCAAACCTGCAGATAACCCTCTGGGCAGCAGCCGAAAGACTAAGGAAAGAATGTTCGTGTATCTAGACCCTCTGACACCCACTGTCCAAACTATTTGATATCCACTGTCCAGACCAGCCATCATCTAGAGAGAGGTGCCATCTTGGACCAATCCAGAGGCTACGAATGCATGACTGATTCTTCTCACAGGTGTGCTTGTTACTATAAGAACTCTCAGCTTTTCTTTCTTCTTCAGAACACATCTGGATTTTTGCCTAGTTGTGTTTATGGTGTGCAAACCCTAAGACCTTTAAATAAATCTCCATCATTTACTTCTAGCCAAAGCCTCTAGACTCTTTTTGAATCTGTTCCACAGTATAATGGGGGATATAGCACATTTATCTACAGCCATAGATTGCAGAGTTAGGAGAAGAGCTCAGAAATCATCTAATCCTCTACGCTGGTATTTCACAGTCTTGTGTGTGCATTAGAATCCCTTGGAAAGCTTGCTAAACACAGGTTGCCGGACGTCACCCTCAAGGTTTCTGATTCAGTGGGTTGACACTGCTGGTCCTCAGACTGCACGTGGAGAGCCTCTGCTCTAAGCGTACACCCATTGCCCTGTTCAAGTCTCCACTGCAGTGACCACCAATGACCACAGTGGAGTGAACATCCCTCTGCTTGTGGGCCTTTCTCTTCCTAGACAGCAGGCTTTCTGAAGCCAAGGGACATAAATTTGCATCGATGTGCCAGAGCCCAAACTCAGTAACTATTTACGAAATAAATTAATTTATTGAATGAATGGAGGCTTTTTTACTCATTTATAGTTGAATATTTGTCAGTATACTATCATTCAGAATAGACGTACTACACACTCAGGTGGACAGCAGCTACTCACTGAGGACAAACAGCAAGCACCGGCAGTACCTAAAGGGAGACAGAAGTCAGCTGGAACCAGAGTAACAAGAAGGCAAATTGTAAAGATCCTAGAACTGCATCGCAGGCCACAGTTCTCAATCAATGAACACTAACAAGCAGCAGCTTGAGGCTCACTCTTATCAAATGTGTTACTTTGACTTGAAGAGCTATAACTGAGTGCTTTTCATCTCAGCCACCATCAAAAGAAAGAAATGCTTTCAAACTTATCTTTCAAAGTTTCTCAGGGTCTGGAAAATGTCAGCACAGGCAGGCCGATTCCTTCTCCCAATCCACCTTCCCCCTCCTAACGCGGCTCAGAGGAAAGATGAGAAGCACAGCACACTCAGCAGTGCCTGTCTGAAGTTCTCCAAGCCCAGGTGGACTGAGTGCTGTGCTGCCATACAGGATCCTGAAGTATCTTCCTAATACAGCAAAGATCTACTCAGAGATAATTCAGTGAATTTTGTGTAAGAAAATAAACTTAAGTTCCAGTTCCTGAATTTCACTACTTCAAGTTTATTCTAACTTTACAAGTATATATGTGTATTTATATTCATACATATGAATGCAATAACCTCAGTATGTGATTTTTTTATTATCATTTAACAACACTAGAATAAAAATATAACCTGTGTAACTGCATGGGTAAATATATGGCTCTATTACTTAGATCTCCTTAAAAAATAATGGACTGCTCAAACAGAAATAATAATGTAGTGTGGTGTTTATAACAGACAGAAACCAAGATATATGACAATAGCACAAAGGTCAAAAGAAGAGAAATTGAAATACACTATTACAAGGTTTTCATACTACTTGAAATGATACAATGCACTTGAAGGTAAACTGGGATAAGTTAAATATACACTACAAACCCTAAAGCAACCACTAAAATAACAAAATAGGGAAAACCTAATAAGCCAAAAGAGATAAAATAGATAAAAATCATTCCATAAATTCAAACAAAGAAAGAAAAAAGAGGACAAAAGAAACCAAGAACAGATAAGAAAAACAGAATACATTTATACCTATCAATAATCATTATAAATGGTCTAAACATGCAAATTAAAAGGCAGAGATTGTCAAACTGGATAAAAAAGCAATACCCTTCAAGGAAGTGGAGCATAATTCTCTACTCCTTACATGGGAGCTGCACAGTGACTTCCCTCCCACAAAGTACGGTACAGAAGGGAGAGAAAAGAGTAACTTGACAGTGGAAAAACCTGACAACTGCTCCGGCAGCCAGGTGATCAAAGTCAACATAGCAGTAAGTCCTGTTGATGTGATGATATTCCTTTGACATGGTGTAATTAGAGTACACATTCTTTTCAGGTGCATGAAACACCAAAATAAATTATCCTCTGGGCAACAAAATAATTCTCAGTAAATGTGAAAGGATTCAAGCCACACAAAGTATGCTCTTTCACACAAATGGATTTATATTAGAAATCCATAACTGAAAGATCTCTGGAAAATCTACAAGTATTTGGAAACTAAGTAATATACTTCTGTGGGGCTAAAGGTCAAAAAATTAAAGAACATTTTAAAATGTTGAAATTAATAAAAGTGAAACCACACCAGATCAAAATTTATGAGATGTCAACAAAGCAGTACTTAGGAGGAAATTTACAAGACTAAACACCTACATCAGAAAAAAGGTCACCAATCAATGACCTAAAGAAATTAGAACAAGAGCAAATTAAACCCAAAGTAGAAGAAAAAAATAAGGATCAGAGTAAAAATCAATCAAATAGAAAAACAATAGAGAGTACCAATGAAACCAATGACTAGTTCATTGAGAAGATCAATCAAGTTGATAAACTTGTAGCCTAGAATTTCCTACCTTGGGAGGCTGAGGAGAACCCTGCGGGGTAAACTCTGGGGGCCACTGTCAGGTCTGGTCTTTCACTTAACAGGAGATGGGAAGCCTCGTCATCTGATTTGCATTTTAAAACCTATGATTGGCTTGGTAATGTTTTTCACTTTCTGCCCATCCACCCACTGGACGAATATAGGAACCACAGCTCTCCTGGACGTCACAATTCCAGCACCAAGCACAATACACAGCAGGCACTCAAATATTTATTCAATGAATGTAAAGCATTTACTGGTACAGAATAAGCATTCCATAAATGGTATTATTTGGCACCTCAGAGCCCAGCACAGGGCTGGCATACGATAAAAGCTTGTTTGAGTAAATGAATGATTTTGTGTAATTGTTGAAAATCTGTTGTATTTAAAACATATGAGTAAGAACAAATGAACCAATCGTTCTCACCCTTTCCCTCACTTATTAAGACATGACTCCATTTCTGACCTTTACATTTAACTTTCACTCAGTTCTCTAAACAGACTGCAATATCCTGCAAACGCAATTAGTACTAATGCACTGACATGCTTGTAAAATGTTTAACTGGGTGGACTTATTCACGTTATTTTTTTTAAAACAATGCACAAGGCGGAGCCCACTCCAACTGGTTTGATTTTTGTTTTCCTTTTCTATTTCATATGTGTATTTTTTAATTTTACTGTATTTTCCATTGCCATTTATCCCCCATTCCCTCTTCCACACCACCCCCCTCAATCACCACACTGTTACAGAATCCCAACAAAGATCATTCACTCAAACATGTGGACAAACAACTAAATTTCCACTTTTTATTTTGACGTATCCAGCGTCTTCACGAAAAACAGAAAAACTAAATCAGGATTAATTACACCTGTTCCCTTTTCCCTTGGTGTGGGTGGGGGCGGGTAAGGCCCTTAGGAGTGAGTCTCAGCAGAGTTTTCCAGAAAGAAAACTCAAGGAGTCACGCATCCAAGTATAAAAACACACCCAATGGTCCATCTCATAAAACGTGGATTCTCTCTCCTAATGTTGACAATGTCTCAATGGCAGCGACCCGCGAGGTAAAGAATTGTCATTCCAACCCTAAACGTGTCGCACAACCACGTAATATCTGCAAGGTGGACTTCGGAGCTATGGAAACTTTTAGAAAGGCATATGAAAGTTGCCTGAAATCAAACAAACTTTTAAAAAGAAAAGATTGATGCAAAAGTGTTGAGCGGCCAGAAAGAACCTGCTCGGTTTGGCTCGGACTTGCTGGTGCTTGTACACAATTGTGCCCGCTGGCAGCTGGCTCAGACGCTCCCTTCCACTAGGGGAGGGACAAATAATAACTTTCAGACATAACAGGCGTCCACAAAGGCAAATGTTACACAGGACTTCTCAATCTCCATCAAATAAGGAGGCTAATGTTCTTTCGAGCAGCACTGGTTCCCCACAAGTTCCCCACCCCCCGCTTTTTCTTTAACAGATGAAAAATAACCTGAGGAGGAGAAGGTGTCACCGTCAGACCCTCGAGGCAATTTCAGACAACAAAGACCCCAAGCAATCAAAATGGAATTATAATCCGAGCCGTCCGAGTGCCTGGCTTCCTGCAAGCCGCGGCTCCCTGAGTGCTCGGGCCCTCGGGTCCCCGCGGGTCCCCGCGCCCTCTGCAGCCCGGGTGCGCCCCCGCCGCCGGTCCTCGGGTCTCGGGCGAGCCTCACACCGCCCACGCTTTGGCAATCTCTGCGCCGCGGCTCTCCGCGCTCCATCTCACGCGGCGTTCAAAATCTTTCCCGCCCAAGCGTGACGCGGGGGACGAAAACAATCAGACCCCGAGCGCTGGGGCCTGGGCCCACAGGGGCGACTGGGGGGGGGGGATCCAGAACGAGCCCCCTGAGGAGCCCCCTACACACCCCCTTCCCAGCCCGGCGGACGGGCGGGCTGGGGCCCGGAGGTGACACAAAGAAGCCAGAGAGACAAACGCCACCCGCTGGCGCTCGCTCCAATCCCTGAGCGCCCCGCCCGCTGACAAGTTTGCGGCGCCCTCCACGCACCCCGCTCTCCCCACCCAGGCAAAGTTTCCCGTGGCCGGACTTGGACCCCGACAACGAGTCGGTACCCGTCTCCGGCGGCCCCCGCCCCCGGCTCCGGGACCTTCCTTCCCTGGCCCCCGCCCCTTCCCCTCCCTCCCACTGTCCCTCCCTCCCCACTCCAGCCCGCTCACTCCGGGGCGCACCCGGGTGCTGGGGCCCCGCCGCCGCGCTCACCCGCTGCTTTCCCCGCGAGGGCGCGGGCTGGGGCCAGCCCGAGCTAGCGCCCCTCTAGCCTTGCTCTCTCGATCGCCCCTTTTGCTCGATCTCCCGCTCGCGTTTTTGGTCCAGCGGAAGGCTCGGGGCACGGCAGGGAGCGCACGGCTCCTAAGCGCACGGAAAGCTGCAAACCACGCCCCGCAGCTTCCCCGCCCGCCGTGGGCCGCCGAGTCCCGCGCTCGCCGCTCGGCGGCTCCTGCCGAGCCCGCCCGCGAACGCCGGGGGCGGAGCAGCCGCCTCCCCCCTCAGGCCCCGCGGCAGCAGAGGGCTGGCAACTTTCTTTCCCTGTTTTGGAACATCAGAGATGGTGTGAGGGAGAGGCTCACTCAGAATGCAGGTTAACGACCCCGGGCGGAAGGGGCGTGGGGATAGGGGGAGTGCCACAAACTAACTCAAGCTTTTCTGGATAACTTAAACGAGAAATTTTTTCCAGTATTCCTGGACTTCTGGGTCTTCTGGGAGGGTAGCGGTGGTAAGAGCAGATCTTGGAATTAGCAACCAGACCTTAATCCTTTGTGGGCCCTTCGTAAAAGGAGGAATTTGGATTAGATTGTTTTAAGGATCTGGATCAGTAATTCCAATAGCATGGTCCAGACTTCAGGGTCACCTGGAGGGAAGGGGAGGCGCTTGTTAACAACATATGGTACGGGGTCCTTCTCCCCAACTGGACGCTGGGGAGTGGGAAAGAGCCTCAAGCTTATGACACGATCTGCAAATTCCAGGTCTGAAATCCAGTGGAAGCAATGCTTGGGAGTAAGTCCTGCAGGTAGCAGTTTAATTTTCCGGCAAATGATTCAGTGCCTTTGGACTCAAGATGACATCACTTGACTTCCACTTACCTATTGTGTTATTCCAGTATTACTAAGGCGCTCAAGGTCCTAGATGAAAGGTATTGTATCAACCCACTGTTGTTACATAGAGAAACAGTGACTTTCAAATATTTCTCACTTAAGTTTGTATTGCAATCAAATTCTTGTAAGTCTAAATTCATGTGTGCTGTACAGCTACAGAATCTTTTTTTATTGATGATCAACAGCTGAATTCTTACCAAAATAGCACACTGCCAGTCTACATGTCATTCTTTGTATTCCAAGATAATCGCCCTGATAGTATCACTTCTTTTCTTTATCAACCTACATTTGCATTATTTATTATTAATGGCCTGGTCCACAGTAAAGGTCTATAAAGCAAGAAGATCCTTCTGGTCCTGAGGTGTCTTTTCATAGGAAAGACCACTTTGCCTGATATAATATATGCATATTGAAGAGCCAGTTTCAAGGAGAAGTTGAGCTCTAGGGTTCATGGAGATGTCTACAAAGCATTGTTCGCTATTTTTCTTCTCTGTTCTATCTATTCTGTTTATTTCCATTTTACATCAGTTGCTTCCTTTACAGTAAATACTTCAAAATCATCAAGGCAATAGTCTCTGGAGAAAATATTTTTAATAGTTTCTTAATTATTGTTCCCTTCTAGGTATCTACGCTACAAGTCCTCAAAGTGAAAGGACTCTTGTTCCGTATTGCATATGGTGCACTTAAAAGAATCCAGAATAAAATGTCTCAAAATGTTTTCAGATGTCCCCAAGCCACGTGGTGTCTCTTGGCCATGTCAATTTGGATATTAAATTAATACCTACTTTTAAATCAGCATATTAGACTAATGGCAGGAGTACTGAAACAGATCCTCCATACTTTGAAGTGAAAATAAAGCTAAGCCAAACAAAGACACACCTGGCTGTTGTGAAACATAACACTGAGCATGTGACGGACGGCTCATGTGCTTACATCCCTGATTGGTAGAGTAAGGGTTGCCATGAAGCCAGCTGTGCCCACATTCTCCCAGCACAGACACAGCCAACAACATAGTATGATGCCATGCTCTGCCTCTCAGCTATCATTTCCATCGGGCCTCTGTATATATAACAAAAGATCTATTTGGCTTGACAGCCCATCTGAGAGACTTTGCCACATCCAATTGTGATTTCTAAAACAAGTTTTGCAAACTGATAAAACTGAAAGCACATCTGAGATGTGGTACACAAGCATGCGGTGGCATGTGGTGACAACTACTGAAGCAGACATTCAATACATACTGCCACACTGTACTGGATAGCACAAAAAACATGGTCTGAAGCATTCAAGTGAGTTGGACATCCTCATGCCATTAAAGGAACTAAATTCTTCACTGATTAGGTTATGCAGCAGCTCCTCTGTCACAGCACGGATTTCTCTGAACTAGAGTTGTTTGTTATGTTCCTGCAACCCTCACAAGAAAGGCAACTAATTTTATTCTGGGAGCAAATTCTACTCTTGTACTTTGATGCCATGTTGCGAAGGATCATGGGATTGCATCAAGGTTTAGCAAGAAAGAATACAAGGTGATTAATAATTGAGTCTCTGCCATAGGCACAGAAGAGGGAATATTAACACTAGTATCATGTACTTATCAACCCTGATGGTAATAGGAGATAATAATATTAAATGATTGGCTGGATGAGTAAGTGAAATTAAAAACACAAAGTAAAAAAAAAGAAAGAGAAAGAGAAAGAATAGAAAAGAACAAAAGAAAGAAAAGGAAAGAGCAACACAAAGTATGTTTACCCAAAGAGACAAGTATAATAATAATAATAATCTGAAGCAAGGTGAGAACATCTTACTACTTGCCTCTATTTTATTAACAATGTTACTACTAGAGACAAAAGGAGATTGCCTTAAAGCTAAGCACTACTTTTGCTACAATATTTTTTACCACACGGAGCACTTTCATAAGCCTGGGATGAAAATAGCTAGCCAGGAAAACAGCTCTGTTCCTTTGTCCAAGAGTCCAATCACACCCTGTAAAGGCCTGAGCTCCTTATCTCAGTCTGGTCTTGTTTCCTGCCAAACCTAGAAACTAACACAAAGAAATGGCTAATTGCTCCCTTGACCAATGTGATCTTTCTACCATTGTCTGATTCACGTAGAAGGTTGGGTCCAACTACGTATAAGAGTGTGCTGCCAATTTACGCAGTAGATGGTCTCCTAAAATACTGAACCATTAGAAGGAGTTTCTGCCAATTTCATTAGAGTCCCACATTCTAGAGTTTGAAAAAAGGTTAAAACAAGTGTCACGATTCAATGAAATCACATATGTAAAGGGCTAAGCATGGAGCCTGGCACACAATAAGGACTTCACAACTGACAGCTGTTGTTGAATTATTTTTAAAACCTCTTTTATTGAAATGGTAAATTAAAGTAGTGGATTTTTAAAAATTCCACACTACCTCATTTTACACAGGAGAAGATTAAGCCTTAGGGTATAATATATGTCTAATGGCCTAAAATAAAACTAGTGGTGCCAGTCCCTGGATTAGAACCTAGAGAAGTTTTTAGCAGAAATAAATGTATAATTTAGGGGAATGCTGTTGTATGTCTTATTTGTTTTATTATTAAGTGCAATACATTTAATTAGTCATTTTGCTTGGCTCACAATTTAAAAAAAATAAATAAAAATGAGGCATTTCCATACAGTTCGATTTTCTTGCAGCTCTGGGTGTTTTTGGTTTTGAGGTTATTTGTAATTCTCTTTGTGGTTGTGCAAGGAGGTGAAGCATGTCTACCTAGGCTCCATCTTCCTGGATGGTGTATGAGTTAGGGTTATGTGCACATATGTGTACACGTTTCTTTGATAAGTAGCGTGAGACTCATTACTGAAGAGTCTCAGACACCTTGCCTTAAATAATTTCTTATTGGTACATGTTCAGTACCTAGAAAGAGGGCACATAATATGGACTCAGTAGACATTTGTTGAATGAATGAACAAAGAGAGCTTTATTTAATCTTCAAATCCAATTCTCTACTTATTATTTAAACTCCACAAGGGCTATGTTTAATGCTATTCTTCTGCATGACGAGCATTAAGAGACAGCAATATACTTTGTGTCATTATTATCAGCGTAAATATCAGTTATTACTAAACGAATCTAAAGAACTTTAAAGAAAGAAAATTCAGAGATGAATTTTCTAAAAGAGATATTTTAATCTGTGAAATATGACCAAGTTAATTAAGAAATTCAGAAGAGTTCCTCAAATACTTTTTGTTTTAAGTATCTTGGAATGTGTCTACTTGTATGAGATTACAAAAAATAAGACTACCTTTGAGAGAGAAGAGAAAGCAGTTTACGTTCTCGGGGCAGGATTCCATGTTGGTACATTTGTCATCCTTACTAGGTGACAGCGAAGCTAACTCGACTGACACAGTGTTTATTCAAGTGCAGTCAGCATACCACTGGGGAGTCACATGATTATTTTAGTTGATGGCACACAGACACACCTTTCTTAAACAAGAAAAAAAATCTGCAATTCCATGGATAGTAATGCTTAGGACTAGTAGGTATGACTAGTGAAGATAGTAAATTAATAACTAGTAAAGATAGTAAAAACTGTGAAGATAGTAACTGAAAAACTGAAATTTTAGAAACCTTAGGTTAAGAGAATAAGGAAGGATACAAAGTACATCACATGCCATTAATAAGTTGTTCATTTGATGGGATTTGGAAAGGAAATCATGACCCTGGCCACACAGGACAGATACTACTTCTAAACCATCCACGGACAATGATGATCGTATATTCCAGACCCACTCTTTGACAGTTCCAGGCAACTTCTGTTTCCTTGGCTGAAACTTAAGACTTCAGTTCCTGATTATTTCCATGCCCATAAGAGGCAGGTCATCACCTCTAACCCTGCTTCTCTTCTAATCCCATCTCACAAGACCCTAAGCCAGTTCAAAGTTTCAGGCCCACTGTTGGTCTAAGAAGCGATTTGGGGAGTTTCAATTCTGCCTGACTCTGTCTTTTGCAAAGAGTTTTTGGCCCTGACCAATGTGACTCAGCTGTTTGGACACTGTCCCACAAATCAGAGGATTGTCCCAGGTCAGGGCACCCGCAAGAGGCAACCTAGCGATGTTTCTCTCGCATGTCAGTGTTTCTTTTCCTCTCTTTCTCCCTCCCTTCCCCTCTCTCTAAAAGTAAATAAATAAAATCTTTAAAAAAGGAAATAAAAGAGCTTCTGCATCTTGCTAGGATACTTACTATTTCTGAGGTCTCGGTCTATATTAAAACACCTTTTTGGTTGGTGTTTTCTTCCTAAAACTGTTGAATAGCCGATTATGTGATGAAAAGAGCACCTGTACCCTGGGTTGTCTTTCTCTTTTTCTTTCACAGGCATGTGCATGACACTGACCTTTTCGGATCTCTGTTTTATAATCACTTAGAAAAAAGAATCTCCAGTTCACACAGATGTTGAGTTTTTAATTCTGTGTTTTCTACTCTCTGAGTGGAGGAAATCTGGCTAAGGTGATTGTGGGTGATTGCTGTAGAAAATAGTACAGAAGGGTAGCTAAGAACACAGAGAGCTGCACTGTCCCAGACAGTAGCCACAATCCACAAGGGGATATTGAGCACTGAAAATGAAACTACAGTTGAGTACAATGAAGTACAAATTGAGATATCCTTTCAATTATAATCAATGTCATAAACCTTGTTTACACAATGTAACCTTGACATGTTACACAATGTCAAGACATTGACATGTCTTGAGATATCCTTTCAATTATAATCAATGTCATAAACCTTGTTTACACAATGTAACCTTGACATGTTACACAATGTTTTAGTTAACAGACTAAAAACAAAAACTGTGTGATAATCTCAATATGTGCAAAATTTTAAGAATGAAGTCCAACATCCATTTCAGATTAAAACTGAACTCGCAGCAAATTAGGAATAAAAGAGAACTTTCATAACCAGATAAAGAGCATCTATATAAAAAGCATAGCTAATATAATACTTAATGGTGAGCAATTAAAAGTTTTTCCCTAAAACCTGAGATCGACTTCCGACCAAGATGGAGGCATAGGTAGACACACTGTGCCTCCTTGCACAACCAAACTAAGGACAAAAAAAGTTTAGAAACAAAAAACAACCAGTACCGACAGAAAATTGAACTGGATAAAAGTCCAACAACCAAGGAGTTAGAGAGCAAATATTCATCCAGACCAGTAGGAGAGGTGGAGACTGGCAGCCAGTCAGAAAGGGGTCACGGCAAAGCGGTGGCTGGTGGACCCCAGATGCGCAGGGCAACAGCAGGTGGACCCACTGAGGCGGTGGATTGTGGAGCGCAGTGCGCACACAAGGAGGCTGGTGGGCCAGGCAGTCCCACATTTGCGTGCAGAAAAACCAGGCAAAAGGGGGAGCAAGACAGACCATGCAACCCAGGGTCCCAGCACCAGGAAATAAAGCCTCAAAATACCAATTGAAAACACCTATGGGGGTTGAGGGGCCAGGAGAAACTCCCAGCCTCACAGGAGAGTTTGTTGGAGAGACCCAAGGGTCCTAGAATGTACACAAGCCCACCCAACCAGGAATCAGCACCAGAAGGGTCTGATTTGCTTGTGGGAAGCGGGGGATGTGACTGAAATCCAGCAAAGAGCAAAGCAAGAGCCATTGTTCCCTCTCGGACCCCTCTCCTACATATAGCATCACAACACAGAGACTGGGTTGCCCCACCCTGGTGGACACCTAAGGCTCC